TCAGAAACCAGGGGTTTGTGGTAAAGGGAGCAAAGACATCTATGCAACAGTTACAAGCCCACCATACATGAAGGAATATGCATGTCGTACATATACATGACACATAGAGGTACACACATGTCACATTCAAAACACATGTACATGGACACACATAGATACACACATGCAGAGAAACACATTATACATAAGTATACCCATATTCACAAGTGCAGACTACATAGATAATACATATACACATCTCACATGGAAACACATAGGATCACATACCATGTACATAGGGGCCCTTCCACAGGACCCACATACAAAGATAAGCACACCAAAACAGATACACACAAAGCACATGACAAAGGAACAAAGATCCTCTTTAGACTCTGTCTCCACATCCCGTGGGCAGAGGTGCAAGTTTCCATTGCAATCGCTGTGCAGGTGCGTTGGGGCAGATGTAGTCCCGCCTGCACAGGTCTTATGTAGGAGGCTGGATACTGTCTTGTGACACTGTTTCCTGGGGAAATGTGAACAAACATCTAATCACCCCAAGTAGGGACTCAGTTACAAAGTAACCATACCACCAAAATTCAACTTGTGAACTGTAAGGAGTAAGGTTTTTCCTCCCTCTGCCGGTCTTGTCCTGCTGCTGCGCCAGCCCCAATTAACACACAGAGACTCTGTATTAGGTACAATGCTATTGGCCCGGTATTAGTTTCTTTTTGGCTAGCTCTGTCTTAAGTATTAACCATTTCTGCTGATCTATGTATTTTCATGTGGTCTTCTCTTATCGGGGAGCTGGCCGGCATTCTGTTCTCTCCAGACTCTCCATGTTGACTCCTCCTTTCTACTTCCTTTCTCCTCCTTGTCTCCTAGTCCCTCCTATCTTCCTTTCCTATTGGCCAACAGTGCTTTATTCATTAACCAGTATGAGAAACACATACAGAATGACATCTCCCATCAGTGAACCAAGATATTTGCTGGCACCCCTAGCAGGATCATGGGTGAGGGGTTAGTAATGGGGGCAGGGGTGACTCAAAGGCAGCTGAAACACCTAAAAGCCCACCCTAGAATGGGTGATGGTTCGTGAAGGCTGGAGCCTTAGAGCTCACTGCATGACTTCCAGGCAGCTAGCTCAACAGGTTGGAAGAATGGTCTAGGCAGATTGGCTCATCGGTGTCTCGGCAGACCTCAGTGCTGACATAAACTTGGAGAGGGAGGAGCCTTGTGCATGGTCAGTTTCAGGGACTTCCTAAAGCTTTTGAGTTGTTCACTTCCTGAATCTTAAGGAGCTTCCCCTGCTGGATGGAATGTTCTATCAGGGAGGGAACTGACTACAAGGGGCACATGGGCGGAAAGACACTGAGAAGAAGAGTCTTCCTAGAAAACACTGGTGTGGGATCTGCTTAACTTCAAGGGAAAAGCATTCTGGAGTGAACATTTGTCCAAATGTTTTAATCACAGGAAAAAAAAATACCAACCAAGGTGTTTGTGCCATATTCCCAGGGCTGCCTCTCCATCTCCCAAGAGCTGCCTTCTTCCTGGCAGGAGGCTTGCTTGGCTTCTGGTACCCACTCCATGGAGTGTCCCCTCAGTGCTCACGGGGTGGTGAGGAGCACAGCAGAGGTCACTAGCAGTGGCTTTATAAACAAGTGCTGGCTCAGTCTCCTCTCTGTTCTTCACAGTTGAATATCAAGGAACACAAGAAGAGGGGGGACGGTGATGGACATGGCCCTTCCAGAGTTCTACAAACTGGGAGGAGCCTGCCAGTCCAAAATGCTCCATGAAACCCCAGGTTCATTCTAGAAACAAAACTACAGTTTGGTGTGGTGATGCCAGCTGCCTGCCCTGCCTGAGGCTACTCCCTGCCTGGCAGTGTGCTTTTCTAAGGAGTGGTCCCCCTGCGTGTTCGCTCGCCTATTCCATACCCTCTGGGGTGGGGCCTTTCTCTCCTGTATAAGGGACATTAGGACACGGGGGATCTGAGAACCTGCTCTGAGGCAGCCGAGTCTATACGGCCTGTGATTCAATGGTTTCGTCAACCCTGGTGATTTATAGAAATGGATGGTGTCATCTGATAGGAGCTGTGGGGGAGAAGCTGTCCCAGACACTGGTTCTTCATTTTCTACGAGCGAGGGAGAGTTGTTTATGAGTAGTCTGCATTTTGAACTCTTTGTTCCACGGCTCGATGACAGCCACGGTGTACTGAGTCACCCACAGACATAGGAGACAGCCCCGAAGCCTGTGACTAATGGCTTCAGTGCTAAATGCTTAGCAGAAAGAGAGAGAGCAAGAAAGAGAGCAAGAAAGGAAAAAGGAAGGGAAGGAGAGGGGAGGGAAGGGGAGGGAAGGGAAGGAGAGGGGAGGGGAGGGACAGGAAGAGAAGGTAAAGGAACAAAGCAAGCAGAGTTCTGCAGGCTTCAAGCTCTGGTGTCCCATACTGGGTGATGGCAGCAGCTGGAACATCCCAGGGACTGTTTGGTGGGTTGGTAGTGTCAACTTTGGAAGTGTCCTTTCTTCCTGTGGGTTCGTTTTGCAAAGCTATAAAAAATAGTAAGTGGCTGTACATACAACTTACTGAGATGGATTGTCAAAGGCGGCTCACTAGCGCCCTCTGCCGTAACCAAATGAAAGAGGGGTGGCAAGGAAGGAGAGGGAGAAGGGCCGAGAGAGGAAGAGAGAGAAGGTGCCTGAGGCCCTCTGTGGCTGGAGGGATGGCGCAGTGGTTAGAAGCATTTGCTACTCTCCTAGACAACCAGAGTTCAGTTCCCAGCACCCAAGTTGTGTGGCTTGCAACTTCCTGTAACTAGCTCCAGACATCCAGCACTCTCTTCTGGCCTTTGTAGAAGCCCTTTCACACATCACACATGCACGCACGCATGCACGCACACACAAGCACACACAAATGAAAAATAAAATAATAACTCTAGAGGAAGCAAAAGAGTCCGCCAGGAATGCTGTTGAAGGAGACACGGGAAACACCCCCCCCCCACTTTGCTTCCTGAATGCAGTAAGGTGGCAGCCTCCATCACCCCTGGTGATGCACTGTGCCACCGCAGACCCAGATAAGTAGTGTCAGGCTGAAGCTGTAAAATCCTAGCAGGGGTAAAGTTACCATAGGGAGAACCTTGTCTCCTCCCCTTTGGCTATCAGATTTTCAAGCCTGCATGCCAAGGAATTGGAATTTCCCCAGGAGTCTCATGCTAGAAGAAAGAAAAGGCTGAAGACTGATGTCGGCCAGGAGGAGAGCTTGTCTTCCAGAGAGAGGTTTACAGAGCATCAAACTGCTTTTCAGGAGGCCAGAGCTGAGACTTGTTGATGGGTGGGACCACTCTTTGACAGGGACATTGAAGATGTATCTCTGGTCTTCTGTTTAAACCTAAACTTCTTGCCTGGACCCCAGAAGGTGAGCCTAAGGGTCACTGGCCCTCTTTGCTCCTTTCCTGCAAAACAAATAATAAATGACCCAGAGACAGATATTGGATTCAAGCTTCAAGCTGAAGATCGGAGAAGCAAAGCAGCCAAGTCAGTAGATCTTACCTCTCCCTCTGGCCAAAAGGGCTGTCTTGTTCTTAGCATGACTGGGGACTAATTCCTCACATAGGGACCTTTTCCTTTTATACCTCCCTAGTGCTTGGGATTAAAGGTGTGTGATCCCACGTTCCGAGATCACCTTTGAGTTAGCTGTTTCTCTTTAGGACTGGATCAATTTCATGTAGCTCAGTGTAGCCTTGAACTAACAATCCATCTGCTTGGCTCTTGGGTCCTGGGATTAAAGGTGTGTGCCACTACCACCTGTCTATATGGCTAGCTAGTGTGGCTGCTGGGATTAAAGATGTGGATCACCACTGCCTGACCTTTATGGCTTGTGGCTAGCTTTACTTTCTGTACCCTCAGGAAAGCTTTCATAAATCCTAAATAATATATCACCACATATTCCTAATGGTTACAAATCTCCCTTCTTGGCTTTTTACTATCATGTCTTCTGTCGAACTACTGAAGACAAGTGGCCAGACCTGGTTTGTTAGGACGGCCGGGGCGAGGCTTTGACCCTTACTCCAGTAACAAGGCATCTGAGACTGTTGCCAAGATAACCCCTTCTTCCTTCTAAGTTGATTTTCTGGGGTATTGGTCACAGTACCAGGAAACTGATTGAAGCAATGTGTAAATCTACCAGCTTTAAGAGTCTGTTCTCTTACACACACATTCATGGGTGGGTAGATAGGGAGTGTGCTCTCTGGCACATGTGTGTATGTGTGCGTATGTGTATGCATACATGTGATCTCAGCTGCTTTCAACCTTATTTCCTAAGACAGGGTCTTAAGACCTGGAATGTTACAACCATGATGGACAGGGCTGCAGTGATCTCCTTCTCCCTCCCTGGAGCTGGAGCTCCAGATGTGTGCACTGCATCTGTCTCCCTCCTCGGAGGGAGATGTAATTGTGGACATATGCACACAGTTCACATTTGTGTGTGCATTTCTATCGCATGCATGTTGTATATGTATGTATGTACATGCATGTGTATATGTGCATAGCTACATGTGCATGCATGCAATACTCATCTAGCCATGCATGAATGTATATGTATGATTATATGTAGTGCCTGCATGTGTCTGTCATGCATGCATACATTTGTGCCTGCCCATAGCTTCCTTTAGAACAGAGGCACTCAGAGCTCTGGAACCTTTCAGGGTGTCTTCAAGGACAGAGGCGGAGCCACAGCCACCCCATGTGATCTCTGGGTCTCCTTGTCATACTTTCTAGTAGGTTGAGGTTGGGCTGTCAGGTCCTCAGCCTGTGAATCCCAGACACAGATGTTTCCCCAACAAGACAGGCCCCTCCTTGCAGGGTTCCTGCACGGTTGGAACTTCACTTGGAGCTCTGTTCCCACCCACATGTAGCAGCATGGTCCAGGACTCAACATTTCACAAGCAGGCTGCACTTGGGATGATGCTGGCCAACTCTGGTTAAGACTTTATCCCGCTGAATCCTACCCACTTCCATAAAAGTCATTACAAAACTAATAGTAGATCTTTATTAAAAACAATTTCTGAAATAAACACTCTGTTCTGCTACTGGTGGGAGTGCTGGTTGGCACCGACAACCAGGGCTTTGCTCTGCAGGGAGAGTTGCAATCACAAGGGCTGGCCTTCCTCTGGAGTCACTGTCTGGGACAGGGAGGACGCATCCCAGTGCACACAGACCACTTTAATGTGGATTGGGTGTTTCCTGGAGAGACATTCAGTTCTGCGTGAGGTATTCGGTATTTGCACTCCGGGGGGTGTGGTGCGGCAGCTTGGGGTGTGCTTTGCACTCTGCTGACAAAGGGTCACAGGGAAAAGGCACACAGAGAGCCCAGCTGCCAGGTAGAAGGGGGCTCTGGTCTTCAGAGGCAGCTCATGAAAAGAGACCCAGCCAAGAACCTGGACTGGTTCCTGACCTTGTAAATTTTGAACATTTGTAGTGGAAATCATCCAGGGAGAATCTTCTCCTGGGCTGCCCGGAGAAGTTAATCTTGACAGCAAGACACGATTTTCACCAGATGAGAGCGCCGAACGCTGGCCACAGTGTGATGTCTGCACATAAGGGCATATTTTGGCTTTCTAGAGGAAGGCAAAGCCCCTGCCTCCAGCCTGCTCAGTCATTATCTAGACAATGGTCAGCCCCAAACCCCTGGAAAGGAGAGGCACTGCCAGAGAAGCCAAAAAAGAAGGCAGAGGCTTCCACAGGGTTCTCACATGCGGGAAGGCGGGGGCAGAGTCCTTGCTCAGATGTGGTCCAGATAGTCCTGTCTCCTTAACCAATACATCATCCCCTTCCTTTCCTGACACTAAACCTGGGACTTCATCAGCGATTCTGTGTTCTGTGGGTCTGGTCGGTGAGTTCAACATACAGGGATCCCCTCTTTAACAAGACGATTGATCTGCCAGCATGACTCCAAACACATCGATGGCTTCTAAGTGCTTCTTAACTCCTGCGGAAGAGAGGCTAAGCTCATTGTGTCCACAGTCTAAAAGGCACTGTTCACGTTCTCTCTCCATTTCTCACATACCACCAACGGGGCTTCCCGCACCATCCCTGCTTGTGTACGTCACAGTGTCTCAGAGGTGAAGATGAGCTTTGTATATATTCCCAGACACAGAATGAGGGCTATGCAGCCTTTGTAATTCTTAAGGTCCTCAGCAAAAGTGCTATGAATACGTGACACTTTGTGTATGATCAAATAGAAGGTCATGCACAAGCCAGTCCAGGAGGGAAGAACGGAGTTCTCAGGTCACATGACCTCAGCTCAGAATGGCACTTAGCAAGGCTTTCTTGTGGTGAAGGACAACTCTCTGGTTTTATTATGAATTAAAATTCCATTTAGAAACTAATCTTGAGATGGTCTTGGTCACCAGAATGCCTTCTACTCTGGTCTGAATGTGTCCCCCCAGGGTCCATGTGTTGGAGATTTAGTACTCAGGTTCACTGGCATGGTGTTTGGAGTTGGGGGATGATGTGGGGTCTTGAGGGGGGCCCTGAGGTGGGATCAGGACCTCCATAAGAGGCTGTGATATCTGTTCTGTCAGGGTATCACACTGTTTAACCTTAGAGACCCCTGCCTCATGCTGCAGCAGCCTGGTGAAAGTCCCGATCCCTACAGCAGAAGGGATGTGCACATGTCTAACAGACACATTTCTTGTACATGGTCCTTCTAGGTGTTCAGTTACAGCAACAGAAATGAGTGGCTTCTGTTGTGGCTTGAATGTGAAGTGCCCGCCCATCCCAGGCTCACATATGAACATCCGGTCCCCAGTTGGTGACACTCACTGTCTAGGAAGCTTATGGAACCTTTGGGAGGTAGGGCCTTGCTAAAGGAACTGCGTCACTGGGGTGGTGGTGGCTGTGAGGCCTTATAGCTGCCCCCACTTTCTGTTCTTTGCTTCCTGAGTGTGGATGCCACGGGACCTTTCAGATTCCTGCTCACGCCTCCAAGTCCCTTCTTCCTGCTGTAATGTCTTTTCAACCATGGTGGCCTATCCCAACGGTGGCCCAAATGGACCCTTCTCCCTAAATTGCTTGTGGGGTCTTTTGTGGCAGCAAGGAGCAAAGTACCTAACAGACACGCATGCCTTCCTGGACTCAGAAGGGATCCTGGCTGCACTGCCTCTGCAGAAGGGAGGGACCCTTACGGGATACGCTCTGCTCAGTCATAGAGGGTCGAGGGAGCACACCTTCCCCGGCAGCCTCCACAAGAACGTTATCCCACCTCCTCCTGCAAGCACATGAGGACAGACTTCCAGTCACCCTGCAGGAAGGCAGCCTGGGCCGTGTCAGCCGTCAGTGTGTCTCATCCGTGTGGTATTTCTGTCTCCAGTGCGAGATCAAAAACAGTGTCCAGGCTTGTTACTCTTCTTAACCGCCTTGGTGCTTGCCAGCTGTGCTGGTGAGTTTTCTCTGTATTTCCTTTGCTTAAGCATCACCACACTTTCCCGATCTGTAGGGAGACCATTGCAATCCTGGACCCAGAGGAACAGAACGATGTGAGGAGGATTTGGAAACTGTTCCTGAATGTGACCCATAATGAAAAGCACACGGGTGGAAACAAAAACCAGAGAGATGAACCCACAGGGTCTGGCTGCTGTCCTGTCTTTTGGGAGCAGGTCGGCTGTGAAGGTGAGTCCTAGCTTTTGCTTAGCTCTCACCCTGGGCAAAGGGAGAGGAAACTCTGGAAGCCAGTTCATCTGAATGAAGTTTCTGTAATTGCTCAAGGATCCAAGGCGGCCAATGACCAGCACCCAAGCTGTTAGTTAACCACGTCATAGTAGTAATTGCGCAGCCGCAGTTCCACAGCTGAGAATCCGGGCCTGTTCTCTACCCTGAAGGAGGAATAAAGAAATGCATTAGTGTTTGTAGACTGACAGGCTGGTGGAAACATGATTATGCCACTGTGCCCTCTGGTGGTGAGTACTGGTCACTGTACTCACCCTGCATTAGTAAAGCAGAAGTGACTTGTGATTCAGGTTTAGGAAGGCATTTGCCTCAAACAATAAAGTGGAAAGGTTCAGTGAGATGGCTCAGTGGGCAGAGGCACTTGTTACCAAACCAAAGGACCCGGATTTTATCCCCAGCACCCTCACAGTAGAAGGAGAGAACTGAGTCCTGTAAGTTGTCTTCTGACCCTCACATATGTGCTAGAGCATGCTCTAATACTTGCACACACACACACACACACACACACACACACACGTAAGCAAAAGATTAAATGATGAAAACAACAAGTGGAGAGTGATGGAAGAAGACACACCAAAGTCAGCTGTGGTCTCCACATGGGCATGCACCGGCGAGCACACACAAACACGCACCTACTGCCCACAGGGATCAGTCTCTGCACATAATTCTGACGTTTTAAATCTCCTCTAGGCTTCTTGTAGTACATGAGATTGAAGGCACAGGGTTTGAAGGCAGGAAGAACATGCTCACACCAGACGCAATTAAAAAATAACCTAGTAACCCTGCTGGTTACTCAGGGCCAGGATCTCTCCCAGGGCAGAGCTCTGCAGAGCTGAATAGGTGGTTGGGCCCAGTAGCAAGCATCTTAATAGATGGCCTCACACTGAGCGTTCTAACAGGAAGTATCTCATATCTCACATGCACCAGACGGCACAGTGGCTGAGACCCTCCCCCAACAGGTACCATGTGACAGGCCCAGTGGCTTCTTCTTCTGACCCCGTGGACTGAGTCTGTGAGTGTGGCACGTGGCAATCCTGCCCCATTGTCTGGGGACTTCTGGCCCTGAGTTGCCTGTGGTCAGAAGCTTCTAGACTGGGTGTAAGGCTTGTAAAAGCAGGGATGCTCTCAGACACTGTCATAGGCAGGGGCTGCTCTGGATGCTTGAGATGCCATCTGCAACTCTGTGATTTCCTCCAGTCTACATATCGGTCTCATAAAATCATAACAGCTGGTAATTTGCAGCTGTCCTAGTTTGCCTAAGTATGTTCCACTATGTTCCCAAAATGCAGCCCCACCTCCTACCATCATTTATGTAGAAGGGATCACATTCCTGATACATCAAAGGAATTCATACTTCATTTTAATACCCAGTGTGATGGCTAGAGAAACTCCTTTTTATGATACACATCCATCTTGGTACCCAGCAGCTGTTTGTCACTGACTCCAGTCCCTGGAAAACAAGTTCCCAGTGGCCCTGACTCAGTGACCCATCTCCATCCAAAGATGTACAGCCATGACTATCTACTTGTTATGATATGACTAACTGCCTTTTGACTTCTGTAACTTGCTTATGCAGATACCTAAAGAGTGTTCTGAGTTGCCTTAACCACTGAACTTGACAAAACAGACCAGTTTTTGCTTGCTTGCTTATATATTGAAGGTCTTCTTGGGATTTTGTCTTGAAAACAACAACAACAAAAAACCCAAACCTTCCCTAAACCCCTCTTTCAAGGCCTTTTCAAATTTGGCTCCAAGATTGTTCATTTTGGAGCAGCTAATCGATGAATCTTTTAATTATAATTGGACTGGTCTATGATCCTTTCCCAGAGGTCACAGACACTGTGGCACCAGCTGTAAGGTCAGTTTTAATTGTTAAGGTGACACAGTCTGGAACCACTTGGGAAGACAGTCTCAACGAGGGACTGTTGTCTAGAACAGGCCGGCCTATGGGGGAACTGTCTCGATGGTGTTATTTGATGTGAAGAGCCAGCCCACCATGGGTTACGATTCTTGGGTCAGGGAACCCTGGCCTTTCTCAGAAAGGAGGTGGTGAAATGAGCACCAGAGCATGTATGAAATCTCCTCTCTCAGCTTTCCACTGTGATGATGTGATGGGATGTTTGCAGTTCGTGCCACCATGGCCTCCTGTGATCAGGGCCTGCAATCTGGAGTTCTGAGCTAAAACAAATACTTTGCCCCTATGTTAGTTTTTGGCTGAGACATTTTATCACATTGACAGAAAAAATCCAGGACATTAGCCACGCCATCTACTTCTATAAACTGGCAGGTCGATGGAGGGGAGGGTTGGGTACTCACTCGTATGTCCAGCAAAGGTTCATCAAGTCGTACATCTCTCTGGGGCACCCTGGAGGGCATCCCATACGCTCCCCTTTCTCCAACATGGCGGTCACTTCACTCCCTTTCATCCCCTGAGACATGGAAATGCACACAAGCTTTGAAAACATGTGCCAACAAACACAAGTACCCCAGCCCCAGAGGCAGAGGGGCACAGACACAGGCAGAGCAATTTCAGGGGACATCAGCCACAATGCTAGGGGTCCTTTCTCTGGACTCCTAGAGTCAGATATGACTGCACAGTGTGAAGGGCTGGATGTTTGGGGAGAAGGGCTTTGAGGTTTCTGCTCTGATTCCTCATTTAAGGGCTTGGCTTTATGGGATGTAGGACCTCCATTTGTGACAATCTATTGGGTGGCACCTTAGGATCTGCTTACATCCTGGAACACACACACACACACACACACACACACACACACACACACACACACACACAGTTAGTTTAGTCTGCATAGTGCTTACATTGCAAACATGAGGACCTGAGTTCAATCCCCAAAGCCAGTGGCAGTGAATGCTGGTAATCCCAGTGTTCCAATGCTGGGGGTGTGGAGATAGGTAGATTCCTGGGCTTCAATGGCCAGCCAGTCTGGACTATTGGGTGAACTTAGGTTAATAAAGAGACTGTCTCAAAAAGCAAGGTGAATGGCCCCTGAGGAATGACAGCTGGGGATGATCTCTGGCCTACACACACACACACACACACACACACACAGGTGCACACACAGGAGTGTACACATAGCAACAGCTAACATAGTCGATGCTGTCACCGTCACCATTTCTATTTAACTCTCAGGAAGGATGGTCTGGAGCTGTGTCTGGTGAGTGTATGTAACACACAGTGAAAACGTGTTTACTTAGCATTGTGTCATTCCCAGGTCACTGTAAGCTGAGGTTGCACTAACTGCCTGCCGTTAGAGAGTGATGAGAGACCCTGGGGTGTCCCCAGGTTCTTGGGTCAATAACCCTATGCTGAGTGATGCTCTCCTAAGGCCATGAGGTTGAGACATGAAACACACAGCTGAGCATGGCTCACTCTATAAGGCTTCTGCCCGTACGAGAACGCTTCCCACATCAGGACTCCGAAGCTCCAGACGTCGCTCTTACTGGAGAACTTGTAGTAGTTGATGCATTCAGGGGCATACCACTTCACGGGCCACTTCCCGTGGGTCTGGGCCTGGAAGCAGAGTGACATTCTGTGATAAGTCAGGTGTGCACAAGCTGAGCCCACACAGGAGTTGGGTTTGAGAGGTGGATTGGAGAAATGCTTTGGCTGAAATTCACAGTGTCAACTCTAATAAAAAGGAATCATAAAAATATCTCAAGAATCAACGAAGGGGGCTGAGGAAGTAGCTTAGCTAGCAGTGGGCATGCATGAAGACCTCTGTTTGAGTCCTAGGATGGTATAACCTAATCACAGTGGTGCAGGCCTATAACCCCAGAACTCAGCACCCATGCAGCCAGCCTGGGCTGCAGAAAACCCTGCCTAAAAAAGAAAAATCAACTTGTTCAATTTATATTTATGAAAGCAAGTTAGCATAAGCATTCCATCATTTTTTTTTTCCAAAACTCAAAATTCAGGACCAGCTAGATGGTTCAGTGGGTAAGATTCCTGCTGCCAGGCCTGAAGATCTGAGTTCGAGTCCTGGGACAGACATAGTAGGAGAGAATCAACTCGTGTAAATTGTCTTTTGATCTCTGTTAGTACACGGTGGCACACTTGCCTGCTCACACACACCATGGGAAAAATAAATGTGGAAAAGATCAAAAACATAAGATGCTAGTCGAATGAGACTTCAGTTGAGACACTTTAAGTGTTTGGGCTTTTGCTACTTGATTGACAGAGTTAAACTTAAGAATACTTTTCCACAAGGTTACTAGTGAGATTTCTACCATAATGAAATACAAAGAGCATGTATTTATTTTTCAATGTTTTTATGACCTGCTGCCATGAGCCTGCCTGCACTGAGCTGTCCTACCTTGTAGTAGTTTTCATCAGCACTGAGGGCTTTGGAAAGACCAAAATCGCTGATCTTGGCATAATGCTGGGTGACCAGAAGCACGTTCCTGGCAGCCAGATCTCTGTGCACGAAATTGCACTCTTCCAAATACTTCATTCCCATGGACACCTGATGAACTAACTCGATGATGTTCTTGTCCTTGATGTGCCTAGAATGTTGTTAGCAAGAGCAGATGGTGGTCATTCCAAACACACATGGTCTCCTTGCACACAGAAGACCTCGTTCATTCATTCCTTCTTTTTAAACAATGGGTCAGAGCTGGAAAGATGACTCAGTGTAAGGACACTTGCTGTGTAAGTGTGAGGACTTAGATTTTGATCCCCAGAAACCATGTGAAAAAGCTAAGCATGGCCACATGTACCTGTAATGCCAGCATTGGTAAGGGGTAGAGACAAGAAGATCCCCAGGTTCGCCACCCCCCCCAAAAAAACTAAACAAAATAGCAGAACTTCCTGTTTAGAGAGAGAACCATTTTTTTGTTCTTTTGGTTTGTTTTGGACAGGGCATCACTGTGTAGCCCCAACTAGCTGGGAACTTGCTATGTAGATCATGCTGGTCCCAAACTGGCAGAATTCCACCAACCTCTGCCTCTCTGGTGTTGGGATTAAAGACAAAGACATATGCTACCTACCACACCTGGCTGTGTGTTCAGTGAATAAAGCATAAAGAGGTAGAGGAGGGTACACAATGTTCCAGCCTCTGCGTGTGTACATGGGCATGCATATCCATGCACGTGTGTATAAAACACATATGCTATACACAGACATGCACAAAACATCCCCAGGAGGCATGAGTGTGGCTGGTAATCTTACTGATACACAGCTCAGTGTGTTTCATTTTCAGGCATGTACAGAAAGTCATAGAGGGCTGTGGAGACAGTGTCGCTGGTAAAGTGTCCATCTTGAAAGCATGAGCACCTGAGTTCGATGCCCAGAGTCAGTGTGAAAGTAAAGCCAGATGTGAGGCCCCATACTTGCAATCCGAATGCTGGGGAAGCGAAGCTGGTGGGTTCCTGTTGAGCCCTGCCCAACTGATAGAGCATAATTGATGAGCTCAGGCCAATGAGAGATCCCTGTCTCAAAGGGGGCAGGTGGTATTCCAGGGGATGGGCATTGCTCTGGGTTGACTTTTGACCTCCACTTATTGTACCTGCACAAACACTCATACTCACACAAACATATTTTAGATAATAAAGGAAATCTGTATAAAATGAGAAGTGGTCAGCCTTGGCTCAGGGGAGTCAGGGATGGCTTCAAATCTCTGTTCCATACCGGATGGGTTACAAATCAACTCTGTTCTTCTTTCCCCTACCTGTAAGGAAGGGCTCACAACATCTTTCTACAGGGTTAGTCTGAGGCAACAACTAAGTAAAGCACAATGGAGTAACAAAGTGATGAGCTAAGTCACTGAATTTGGTTCATTCCAATAGAGTCTCTCTATGGCCCATAGCCTGCCCCCTCTGATGCAGTTACTCACGAGGTCAACCATCAAAGGCAAAACTGGTGCCCAGGAATGTGTTTGTTCCAGGTGGCTTTTTGCTTTGTTTTTTGAGACAGGGTTTTTCTGTAGCTTTGGAGCCTGTCCTGGTGCTCGCTCTGTAGACCAGGGTGGCCTCACACTCACAAGATCCACCTGTCTCTGCCTCCCAAGTGCTGGGATTAAAGGCGTGCACCACCCGCCACTGCCTGGCTTGTTCAAGGTGTTTATCTAAGAAGAATGTTTTGCCTGTTGCAGGGAGATGGCCTGTCCACACACACTGAGGATTTTACCATTGGACAGAGATCCAAGGAGAAGAATAGAGACCAAATGATGGATTTGTGTTTTCTCTGACAAGGGCTAGGGAGATGCCTCAGTTGGCAAAATGTTTGATGCACAAGAATGAAGACCTGAGTTGGGATCCCTAGCATTTATATAAAAGCCAGGCATGGCATTTGGGACTTGGGGTCACTCCAGTTTGTCTGAATTGGTGGGCTCCAGGGTCAATGAGAGACCTTGTCTCAAAAAGATAAGATAGAGAGTTAAACGGTTGAGACCTTGTTCAGTGGTTAAGAACACCTACTGTTCTCGTATAGAGCCTGAGCTTGGTTGGGAGGTTCACAACTGTCGGGAACTCCACCTCCAAGAGATCTGACACTCTCTTCTGGCCTCTGAGTATCTGCACTCATGTGGTACACACTCACTCAGACATATACACATAAATAAAAACGTAATAAGATGGACAGTGATAGAGGATAGAGAATGACATCCAATATTGACCCCTGTTCCCCACACATACATTCACACACAGGTGTGCTCCCACAGAGAGAAACAGAAAGACAGAGAGAGAAAGAGAGAGAGAGAGAGAGAGAGAGAGAGAGAGAGAGAGAGAGAGAGAGAGAGAGAGAGAGTCCCACAGAAAGCAGGCCCCAGCATGGCCCAAGAGCGCCTGTGCACAGCTCCCGTGCACCTGAATCCCTCGGCACCTGTTCTGCTGCAGGTACTTGTTGAGGGGTCCCAGCTCCGCCATCTCCATCACCAGCATCCAGGACTCGGCCTCGCAGATTCCGATCATGCGCACAATGTAGGGGTTGTCCAGCTGCTGCATGACGTTCGCCTCCGCCAACAGCTCATCCTTCAGTGCAGGGTTGTTGGCCTCATTCTTCAGGATTTTCACAGCCACCGTTTTCACAACTCTGCAATACAGATTGTAACTCCTGAGAAACTTGCAAAACTGTCTGGAAGTTCTCTTTTGTGAGACTCGATGCCCGCCCGGGGGTGGCTGGGTTGGTGAATGCTGACACACTCGCTGCATTCAGAAAATGGCCACAGGCTGGAGAGAGAGATCAGCATGTAAGGTGCTTGTCTTGCAAGCATGAGGACCTGAGTTCAGATCCCCAGAACCTGCAGGAAGTTGGATATGGGAGAATATGGCTGTAATCCCGGCACTGCTAGGGCAAGAAGGCAAGGGAGAATCCATGGACACTTGTGGGGTCAGCAGCGACCCCCAAGAGCCTCCGTTTCAAGCAAGGTAGAAAGAAAGAAGTGACACCCAGGGTTGTCCTTTGACCTCTATATGGGTGGTGTGTCAGGAGCACCTACACACACACACACACACACACACACACACACACACACTGAAAAATGGCTAGAATCATTTTATTTGTTAGAGTATTTTCAAGAGTTTGGTATGATCCATATGATATTTTAATGAGAAAATAAAAAAAAAATCTGTATTTTGAAACACATTGGGGCTTGCTTAAATTTAACAAAGCCGGATGGGGAGAGAAGTGTGTCTTTGTCTTTAACTCTGAGCTTTAACAATGTATGAACTGGGCATGGTGTTGCCTACCTGTGACGCCCAGCACCCCAGAGGGAGAGCCCAGAGGACCAGTAGCTTAACTCCCTCTGAATAAACAGCCGTCATTCCCATCAGATCAGCCACACCTTTTGCAAGAGAGCAGCAAGGCCAGCTTTGTCTGCTGCTGGTCTCTCCCAGAAGGAAAGGGTGGGGACAATCACTGAGCTGTCACCTAGGCTCCTGTGACTCTCTCTCTGGCCCCTTCCAGACAACTGTATGAGATTCTGTCCTAACTGAACACAGACTCAGAGTCTTGGGAGGTGCTAGAGCACACAGACTGTGAAGGCTAGCAGGAGTGTGTGAGGGTATGTGAGGGAGGCTGTGGTGGTTTGAAAGAAAAGGCCCCCGAAGGGAGCGGCATTACTAGGAGGTGTGGCTTTGTTGGAGTAGGTGTGGCCTTGTTGGAGGAAAAGTGTCACTGTGGAGCCAGGCTTTGAGGTCTTATATATGCTCAATATACCACCTAGTGTCTCAGACCACTTCCTGTTGCCTGCAAATCAAAATGTGGGACTCTCAGATACTTCTTTAGTACCGTGTCTTTCTGCACGTTGCTAAGTCACACCATGATGATAATGGACTAAACCTCTGAACTGTAAGCCGTCCCATTAAATGTCCATAAGAATTTCCATGGTCACAGTGTCTCTTCACAGCAATAGACACCCTAACCATATACATCCCCGTAGAAGCCATCGTCTACTCTGAAGCCAGACTTCTCCGTGGTGCAGCTCCTGTAAGCAACCCCTCTCACATGCTCTGTAGTAAGCCTAATAAACTCACTGGTCTCCCAGGTTGGACTTTGGGGGAACTGTGCTCTGGTTTGAGGTTGGTGTTCTGTAAGAATGAGTGGACGCTTGCTTACATCACCCAGGGTGGCCTCTGCAGTAGCCGGTCTTCCAATCTATTGCAGAGGAACAACGCCCCGCAGCCTGTACAGCAGGGTAGTGGACAATGATGGAGAATGTTCCAAGCGGAACAAAACCCCAAAACTGTAAAATATTAAAACAGCTTCTATACAATTCACCAGCTGTGACATACATATAGCTTCCTGCAATGTCATGTGATTTTGGAGGCTAGGTTATATTGATATGTATATGTGATTACAATGCTCCTTGGTGATACTGAAAATGAGCACCGGGGCCCAGAATTAAAGCCCATACATTGTTCTATATTTTTTTCTTTTTGAGACAGGGTCTTATGTAATCCATTCTGGCCTCAAGCTTGCTGTATAGTGGAGGGTGACCTTAAACTTCTGACCCTCCTGTCTCTCTCCCTGGGGTGCTGGGGATCACAGATGGGCAACACCATGCCCAGTTCAAAGCTCACACATTTTTCAAGGCACACTTCTCTCCCATTGGGTTTTCTTAAATTTAAGCAAGCTCTCAACATGTTCCCATAACATAGGGTTTTCACTTTCTCATAACAATACCACGTGGACCATGCTGAACTCTTAAAAATATCCTAACAAAATGTGGTTTAAATGAAAGAACAAACATTAACCACGTATGACTTGAAAAATCATACTTGTGATAAAATTTCCACAAGAACAAGAAGTTGCTTTTTTCCCCTGAACCTTCAAACTGGAGAATAAAAGCAGAACTAGTCAGTAAGGGGGCCGTGAGAGGCTCAGTAGGTAAAGATGTGTGCTGCCAAGCTTGGTGACCCAAGTTTGATCCCCATACACACATGTACACACACACAGACACACACACACACACACACACACACACACACACACACACACACACACAGAACCACACAATGAGCTCAGTGGAGGGGAGAGTCTTCAACAAAATTCAACATAGATCCATGATTAGAGACCTCCCAGAAATACGGGAACAAAATGAAACTTCTTCAGCCTGGTAGACAGCAGCCACCAGCCATACCCAAGGGGAATGCTGGGGTCTCTCTGTGTGTAAGCAGGCATGAAGGTCCTGACAGTTATAAAACACTACTCTCTAATCCCTAGATACTGTACCAAGGCAGGGACAAACACTCTGAGAATAAGCATTAGAAATAATGAAAAAAAAGTATCATTATTGGGCTGGGGAGGCAGCTCAGTCTATTATGTGCTTGCCATGAAATCGTGTGGACTGAGGCTCCACATGGCCAATTCTCCAACATGTAAAAATGTGGGCATGATATAAACATAATTGCAGCACTGGGGAGGCATAGATGGTCAGAGTCCTGTGGGTCTCTGGCCAGTTTCCATAGCCTAACAGTAATGCCCAGATCCCAGTGAGAGACCCTGCCTCAAAAAAAATATCTACACACACACACACACACACACACCTGCACAAATGTATACTCACACCCACACATTATACACACACGTGTGCATGCACACACACAGAGACCTGCCATTATTCACAGTGACAGGATTCTGTGTTAACGAGAATAGCTAGGTAAACTGGCACTGGTCACAAGCGAACTCAGCAGTGTTGCTGGTTGTCGCATCTATGTGTAAAATCAGTTTTAGTTCATACATAAGATACAGAAGATCAAGAAGTGGAAAATGCTACATGAGACCATAACACATTAGCATCAAACTACCCTGAGCACCTAAAGTACTTAGTTCTACACAAAACTACCTGAGAATGCATGTAAGGGAAGTTGAGCAAATTTTGACACAGAAAACTAAACAAGTCCGCTGAGAGAAACCTGAGAGTATGAAGAACTGAGTCCAGGGAGAGAATGGGCTCAGTTTACCAATGGGAAGACCCAGGGACGTAAAGACATTGTTTTGCCTCACATGGTCTTGGTAGAACACAGCCTCTCAACTCCCTAAAACCTGCAGTTGAAATTGTGTGTACATTCATATTAATGAATCATACTAATTCATATTAATTAATCAAGGTATTAAATATCAAATAATTAAGACAATCTCAGATTATCAGTAAAGTGTATATCTAAATACATAAACATTAATATTCAGGTTTTCAAAAGGTTTACTTTAAATTATGTATCTAAGTGTGTGGCTGTGTGGGAACGGGCATGTTGAGTGCAGGTTCCCTCAGAGTCCAGAAGAGGGCATCAGATTCCGTGGAGCTGGAGTTAAGGCAGCAGTGAGTCATCTGATGTGAACTTAGGCCCCTGGAAGAGCAGTGTACCCTCTTAACCTCTGGGTCTTCTCTCTGTCTCTTAATATTCAACTTGAAAAGTGACTGTGATTCACATACACATATTTAAAATTTTACACACATATAAAAACCCAGCAGATGCCCATACTAAGGTTAGTCACAGGTAGTCACATTTGTGAGGTACAATATATTCGTATTTTCTTAAGAATTTGCTTATTTCGGTTTAGTTGTTTCCCATGAGGCACATATATTAAAACAAACATTTTATTACTATAACTACAGTTAGCATACACAAAGGGTGTTTTTGTCACAAACGAGTCCGAAATGAAGGCTGGCAAAATGGATCAGTTGGTAAAAGAACTTCTGCCAAGACTGATGATGATGAGTTTACTTCCCAAAGCCTTGTGAGAAAGAGAGGACCAACTCATGGGTCCTCTGACCACATTAGATGAGTGCTGGGACATATGTGCACGGCATACAAAATAAAACATAAATGAAAAATTGTTGCATCAGAAATGAATAAATAAAATGCTAGTGAAAAAGTGCTCAGCGTGCTAGGTTAGACTTCATGTGTGGGATTAAATGGACATTTTAGGTGCATTCTTAGACGTTTCTATAGCGCATGCTCTCACTGAGGATGACAGTAGCATAACGGGCAATGGTACTTACTTTTTCATTTGGTAGTATCCTTTTTTCACCGTCCCGAAGTTACCAGAGCCCAGTTCATTGTCCTCCAGAGTCAGCAGGCTTCTGTCTAGGTAGACCTCTTTGGGCCGGATCTCTTCGGGGTCAGCGTAAGGGCTTTCATACACCTCTGTGTCCATGGGTAGGGCTTCTCTCTGAAGGCCTGCAAGGTGGTTAGGTAACAATGGACTCCAGACGGGACACCTGTGAGTTTTTAACCCTTCCCACCCTGCCCTCCACTCCTGTGCATGCAGCGAGAACTGAAGCAAGAAAAGAGACATCAAGATGGGTCTTCTACAGCAGTGGTAAAGGTGGATAACACCCCCGTCCCTAGACTCTAAGCAAGGTGTGAACATTCTTTGATACTCTCCTGTCAATGCCTTGGTGCCGCCAATGACATGTTCCTTGCTGATGTTTTATAACTCAACCAGCAGAGTTCCAGAGAATTGATGCATGTGTTTCCCAAGGCAAGGCAAGGCTATGAAAAGTCACAATGCTTACTATCTGAGATGCTGTGGATGGATTTCTATTGCTCTGAGGCTACCAAACTCTGAGAAAATGACCATGAACTCAACATCTAGCCGACAAATGACTTTGACACTGGCTTTTGCAGTACTGGGGATGAAACCCAGGGCTCTGTGCGTACCAGACAAGAAGTCTATCATGAGCTACAACTCCAGCCACGAGGTATAAATGAAATGAAATGACCCTTGTTGCTTTAAGCCTTTGTTTGGAGGCAGTTTCTAGAAATAAACAGACCCTGAGTACATTGATTAAAAAAATAACACTGAGACACACTCATGAACCCAAGAAATCTATCCAAGGGTCCAACCTCTGAGAACAAGTCACCCCTGAGGCCTCTCAGTCATCATGACTGTGAGCTGTACCTACTGTCAAGGCCACATGATCTTTCACGAAAGGCACCTTGGGTCTATGGAGTGTGACAGGCACAGGATTTGAAACAGAAGCCCGGTGCTGACAATGGTGACAATGGTTGTGTTTTTGCTGTTTGTTCTAAGTGTAAACACTGGATGGAACTGCTTGTTTTATGGATATGTGATATCTTCTGCCTGTGGCTGGACAGTACTGCTTAACGATGACCATCACCGCAGAAGGCAAACTTGGAACAGTGCCAGGAAGTTGTAAGCTGACTCCACACACTGGCAAGTTTCCGTTGAATGTTTACTGAGTAAAAGTGCATCTCTCACCTCTGTCTGGGGCCCAAGGCCCTCCTGTTGGCTCATAGGGGTTGAAGGACACAGTGCTCTCTGGACGACTCCCTTGGGGTGGGGCAGGCTGAAGCACACAAATGAGGACATGTTGTCATTTCTGCACAATGCCATTATTTTCAATGAGCGCAGGTTAACTTAGGCAGGGGAGACAGGGAAAAGGATTAAGAAGAGGTCAGAAAAGCTTATCTCAATCTTCAGGCAACTGTTCAGACCTGAGAAGGTTAGACAGGCTCATGCCTTACAGCTCCCACCTCTGGCATGGCCTCAGAGCTGGAGGGAGAATCCATTCTGTTTATTCCAGCAGAACTTTCTTCATAGTCACATGCCCTTCGCGTGCCTTTCCCACCTCCCAGAAGATGGGAGGGTCTCATACGTTCCCTGTGGGTTCATTTCTGCCTTTCACTTGCCCTTCCTCGTCGAATTTTATGTGGAAGGTACTTAGAAAGTGAAGTCAGGCTGTGTCCACCGTTTATGCCTTCCGTACAAGTTCAGGCACAATGCATGGATGCCATAGGGTAGCCCAGCCCAGTTAGCTGCAAGTCCCATTGAGGAAGGCTACATCCTGCCACATGCCCACCCCTACCCTGTGCACTGCTGCCAGTGCTGACAATGATAAGAGAGTGGTGATGGCAAAAGGCATGTAACGCCACGAGAGAACTCTGCTTTCTGGGAGGAAAGGAACTCAACCCTCACTGGCCCACACACACTGGGATACCCACTCATTGGATTAACAGTGGTTTGTCTCATGAAGCAGGCAGAGAGGGGGACCTCCTTATATTCCTATGGGTTTTCCATTTGAAATATTTTTTTCTCTTTTTCTGACCCACTTCATCCACGAATTAAAACAAGGTGATGGCTACTAAACTTGCCTCACAAGCAAACCACTGTTCAATTTTTAACCCTCCTCTCCTCCCACGTTTATTTTATCTTGTGTATCTATTTACCTTATCAGAGCCACATATTGCCATGAAGAATTGAGACAGCACCAGATTTGGAGGAAATTTAAAGAAACAGAGACATTCAGCTAACATTACACAGCCACTGTCTAGAAGCACACATTAAATTCTCATGTGTCTCACTAACATGACATCCCCATGCATCAAAATTTAACAACAGAGTCATACTGTGTCATCACCAACACAGGCACTTATGTCCCAAGATACTTTGACTTCCCAGCTTCATGGTGTTTACAGGCGTGAGAGGCTGGCAATGCCTGTGGAAAAGGGACTTTCAATGAAGTCAAAGGACATCTGGTCTCAGATGTCATGGAGATGTCATTGGATGCGTTTTCTTGTGTCTGTCCAAACACTCCTGTTGGATCATGTAATAGAACTAACCATGACAACAGAGCAGAAGTTATGCAAATGTAGGCGTTAAATCAAAGCTCAGTAGCTGGGCCAAGCTAGTAATGGATACTTAGGAAAAACACACAACACAAACATGTGAAAGAATGGATGTTGGATGGATAGGTGTGTGAATGTATGATGTATGTATGTACAGATGGATAGACAGATATGTGGGTATGTGGATGCATAGGCTGATGGATGAGTGGATGGACAGATAGATAAATGGATGGATAGTTGAATAGTTCAATTGGTGGATGGACTGATGGGTGAATGGATAGGTGAGTGGACGGTTGGTCAGATAGATTCTAAAGTAACCTTTTATAAGTGGGAGATGTGAAATGCAAACTTCCATAGTTTAAAATGAGTTCTCTCCTAAGTCTTTGCACTCAGAAAGGGAAATAGGCCCAGGTAAATCTCTCGTGACCCTCTTAAACTTTTATATATGACTTCAGTAGCGCTGGGTGTTGCTTGGATTTCCCTTACCATTTACCCTGCCATTGTTCCACCTAAAGAGAACTGTCCTGGCTTATACTCTGTAATTCCTACCATATCTACCTTCCCACTTTGCTTTGATCCTTCTATAAACAAACTCTAGCAGCAAACAGTTTTTAAAAGCCTTTTTAGTTTAGCATGACTACAATCTTAAGTCTTTTTATTTTTCCCTGTACACAAGAAAGTTCTGAGATTTCCAAGACAAACTCTGACCCATCATGTAGGTAAAGGACACCCCAAGATGGGGAAAACAGGCTTCACCCTTTCTGTGGCTGGGAAAGCTCATCTCCTGCCCTCTGCCGCTCAGAGCCTCATTCTGAGGTTGAGCCTCTCTGGAATATTCCCCAGAGCAAGAGGACTCCAAAAGGCTTGTTATACTAAACCAGCACCCACGATTTCCCAACAAATCTGCTGGGAGAGGTTTTTAAAGCAGAAATGAGGGTCTTAAAAATCACTGAGGAAAAAAAAAAAAAAGGCAGTATATCTGAAAAAAGTTGGGATCAGTGGCAAGGGACCCTGAGCATCCAAGCTCCTGGAGGGAGTTCTTATCCAGTCCGGCAGGTGCTATCCCTATGTCTATCTGATAGACAAAGGAAAAGACTGGTTATCTCCTTTGGAAAGCAGGACTCCATTTTAAGTGGCCGATGCTCGGGGTTTCATTTCCATGCTACCCAACACAAAGCAGCCTATGAGAATGAACGTTTGCGATCCAGAAAGTAGCCCCGACCCTCTAAGAGGTACATAACTTTTCTCATTTGGATGCGCCAGCCCTAGTACCCACCACCTCCCGCCTCACACACAAGTGGAGACCTATGGGTTTGGGGCACCCTACTTGGGGCATGTTCTGTAGGAGTGGGTGGTTTCCCACTGGGATGGTTAAAAGAGGAGCAGTTGGCTGCTTTATGACGTAGATGAAGACACAGGGTCCCACTTTCAGCATTCTTGGCACTTGGGAACAGGCCTTTGCCTGGGCCACTGCCACCACCAAAAGCTCTGGAAGCAAAACCTCTTTCAAAGGAATGAACACAAAGACACAACGACAAACAAGCGAGCGTGGGTCAGTATTAAAATGGAGGGCAATGTGAACTGTAGTGAGGCGTGCGTTGCTGGTCGACAGCACTGATGATAGGTTATCAGTCTCTCTACGTTGTATTTGGTGGTCAGCCCCCTTCGCTGCTACCATCTTTTCTGCACTGAGAACAGAGCTGTAAGGGAAGTGCTGGCAGCCTCACCCTCTCACCCCTACTTTCCACCAACACACAACTTCTAGGCGCCTCCCGGCGGTGTCAGCTACCCAACCTTTGGTAGACAATTATCAAGCTCTGTCACAAGGCATTACAAGTGATGATGCATTAGACATGCTTGTGTGTGCGCATGCATGATATGGTATGTGTGGCTGAACACGCGTGTATGTGCATGTAGGTCAGAAGTCAACCTTAGGTGTTGTTCTTCGGGAACCATCCACCCTTGTATTTGACACCGACTCTCCCCTGGCTGGGTGGCTGCTAGTCAGTAAGTCTTAGAGATCTGCCTGGCTCTGCCTCTCCAGGCCTGGGATGGCCAGAGTTTTCCACCACACTGAGCATTTTGTGTGGGTACAGGGGATCAAACTCAGGTCCTCAAGGTTGTGTGGTTGTGTGGTGAGTGTGCTTTATTGATTGCTCTCTCTCTCTCTCTCTCTCTCTCTCTCCTCTCTCTGAATCATTTTGAAGTGATTAGAAGAGAAAAGCACACTACCCTATGGAGCTGATGGCCTCAGCCCAGTGCCTGGCTTCCACAGCCTCATGTTTTACTTCCCAGACCCTGGCTTTTGCTCCCAGCTTCCTGCAAGTATTTCCAAGTGGGAGTGTGGCTGGTGACACTTCCCAGAGATCAAAAGCCAGCAGGCTGCAGAGCATGGGCTGCAATGAGCTGGGTGTGGTTCCCAGTGTCAGGAGGAACTCAGGCCATAGAGGTGTGAGTGTGCCCAGATGAGAGCAGACTCTGCTAGAAGGTGGGCTATGGTTAGGCTTGCCTGAAGAGAAGCACATCTCTAGATAATTATTCTTTTATCTCACGGCAAAGATCTAAGACCTGGCCCTTTCGGAGTACATTTTCTCAAAATCCCAGCCATCAAATTTTGTATCGAATAAAACAAGAAATCCAGAGACTAGTTCCTCAGGGAGGGTGCGTGACCCCGGGAAGCCTCTTCGTGGACAGGACTGTGGACACAGGCAGCCAACCCAGGGAAATGCCAGGATTCTCCACAGCAGTGATTTTATATGACTGCCGGTGCTCTTACGCCTTAGCTAAGGGTGGTTACACCCTCAGAATATGAAACACATTGCTATTTTCTAAATTTAAATCCATCTGTCTTGGGGCTAGAGAGGCAGCTCAGTGGTTAAGGTCACATCCCACCGTTGCAATTTGCAGAGGACCTGAGTTTGGTTCCCAGCACCCATAGTGGGTTGCTTATGACCCCTTGTAACTCAAGCTACAGGGGATCCTCTGAAGGCATCTGCACACATGCAGCATATGTTCACACAGACATGAACACGCATGTGTGAATAAAAATCAATTCATTAACTCTAATTGTTAGAGTTATTTCAGGGCCTTGTTGATGAGTTTTGTTGGTGTTGACTGTTGTTTTGCATGTGTGTGTGGTGTGAGTGTGTGATGTGTGTGATGTGTGTGTGTGTACTCCTGTGTGTGTGCATATGTGTGTGTATGTTGTATATGCATGTATCTGTATGTGCATGTATATGTGTTCATGTATGTGCATCTGTATGTGCCTCTGTGTATGTGTGTGTGTGTGTGTGTGTGTGTGCATGTATGTGTGTGCACATGTGTACATTCAGGGGCCAGAGGCTGATGTCAGGTATCTTTTTCAATCACTTCTCCACCTTGTTTTTTGAGACAGGATCTCTCACTGAACCTGGAGCTTGCCTATTTGGCAAGGGACCCTCCTGCCTCTGTCTCCTTAGTACTGTGACGACAGGCATGTGCCACTGTGCCCAGCTTTTTACATGGGTGACAGGGACCTGAACTTGGGTGCTCAAGCTTGAGTGACTAAAGCTGAACCATTTGGGCCATCTCTCCTGGCTGCAGCACTGGCTTTTTGATATGCCAACTGGCTTATCTGAGCGATCGTGAGTTTATCGGAGTCATGTGGAGACCCCAGGGTCAGGAGCATTGCTGCCGAGAAGGGGCTCTGCTGATGGAACTGTAGTCCCCAGCCAGCTGGCTTACGTCATGAAGACTATCCCCCGTGGGCCTGACTCAGTAAGTCGAGGGTCCTTAGACACAAGTTTAGACTTTCTGAAGAAAGACAGAAGAGGTAAAGGGAAGCTACCTGACCCCCACCACAGGGCCATGCCACTGAGTTCCCACACAGCTGTGGGCTTTCCCCTCTTGGCAATCTCCCCTGTGAACATTGTAATTGTTAGTTAGTCTGTGTAAATGCATAAGGAAAGTCCTTGTAATGAATATGTGTATAGATATATGCAGGTAATACATTTGCATGTGTGAGCACAGATATATGCATAAATGTACATATTACTTGTATGTATGGAAGTGCATATATAATATACAAACACACACAGGCACAGATATGTCCGTGTATGGATGTATATATGAGTGCATCATACAGTTTTATGTGAGCTCATGTGCATAAGGCATCTCTGGTGGAACCCAGGAGATGAAATGTGGGATGCTGGAAGGGAAGTGTGCAGAGCTGGGTGGGGACTGTGAGTTGGCAACAGGCCTTGGAGTAGGGCAAGTGGACAGACAGACAGTGTGGTAGGAGCACACGAGGAGTCAGGCTGAGGAGGAGGAGGCGCGAGCCTACTCAGTGCCCCATGGTGTTCTATGAGGGTTGGTAAGTGTGGTGTCCCATTCAGGACTATGGTGTCCGCAAGTCTAATGCCAGCCCACAGTGCTGTAGTTGCTGGCCTGAGTGGACTTGATAACAACACCTTCAAAAAGCTCCCTAAACAGGCGAACACTAAGTACCCCAGTTTCTGAGGCACCATGCTGTTTCCCACTGGGTTCGATGGACATGAGCTACCCCAGTCACAAAACGGGGCCCAGAGCAAGGAGAGCGAGTGAACCCAAGGCAGGCTCAGGCTGTTGAGCCAGGTCTCTGCAGAGCATTCGCTAGCATTAAGTATCGCTGACTGCACAGAGCACACCACGGCCTCCTGACTCCCCGGCCGCCATGTTGCTTCTTGTCTGTGTTCTTGTCAGCAGGATTAATTAAGATCCTCAAGTGACTGATCAACATAGGGAATAATTAGAGTAAAATTCTGGGCATTTGTGCCTTTCATTGTAATAAGTACTTTAGATATTCAACTCTGTGTGCCTATGCTTAGTCATGTGCCCACAGGCTTGGAAAAATATTAATACAAAATGAAAACAACTGTCAATAGAATCAACTTTACCTAAAGAAGATAAAAACAGATATGAAAAAAGCAATCTATACATATTATACACTCATATATGTGTGGATATACATATGTCTATGCATATATATACACACATACAGGTGTGCCTACCTATCTCTCTCTCTGTGTCTCTCTCTGTCTGCTCTGTCTCTGTCTCTCTCTCTTTGTGGTTCACTATAAATAAGTATTACATTATAAATAAGTATTACAAAGATCAGGGTGGAACTCTTATAACTTTGGGACTTGAGAGATGGAAGTAAGTTCAAAGACAGCCTGGGCTACAGAGAAAAACTCTGTCGCATAAAAACTAAAAACAAAACCAAAAAATCATGTGCTGGGACATGGCTCAGTGGTAAAGCACTTGAGTTTGATTCCCAAACCCTGAAAAAACTTGTTACTCGTTTAGTATGCAGATGAGTCACAGCACACACATGGGGTCAGAGGGCAACTTGCTGCAGTCAATTATCCTCTTCCACCATGTGGCTTCCAGGAATCAGACTCAGGCTGTCAGGCTTGGTGGCAAGGGCCTTTGGCCTCTGAGTCTTGACCTCAAGGTCTTCTTTTTATTCAGTCATGTAACAAAATACAAAAAAGCAACCTGCTGTCTCGAGGGCAGAGCACCTCTGGAGACCTCAGACCCCTCCTCTGTGAAGAACTTTATGTAGCAGATGTGGTGATGGTGCAGCATGTGACTCTGGATAAGGAAGGGGAAGCTGACTGTGACCGTCTGATGTGAGGATCAGCAGTCGTTGGTTGTGTTCATTTGAAATGACCTAAGCCACGTAGAGAACAAGGCAGCATGGTCTGTCTATGCAGCAGTAGCGATGGAGAATGTGCACACGGAACACGGAATGCGCTGTGCTGGGGCTGCTAGGCCCCACAGGCACACTCAGCACTGGGCTTGCGGTGGAGGCATGGAGGCAGAGCTGTGTTGGTAAGGGGGTAGGGAGCCAAGCGTGGTCTGCGTGCGGGTCTATCCTACCACTTAGTCAGGGACAGCAAGAAGGGGACACTTGAGCACCTTTTTGAAGCCAGGCTTTGGGAAGGAGTAGGATTTGATTCTTGAGATTATTCCACCCGGTGACCAAGTCTAGAAACCACAATGGTGAGAGGAACAGAGCGTTTAGTTTCAGAAAACACATGCAAGGGTATTCTTTGTCGTGACAAGCTACCTGGCCTTGCTTCTGAGAGCGCACTGCCGTCCCCTTCACCGGCCCCAGGGAAATTTCCTGTCAGGATTATTTGAGATGCTTCCAGAAGAGCCAACCATTTGGGCAGAGATGTCTATCTAGAAGGGTCAGTAAATGTTTTCCACAAAACCAAGGCTGAGACAGGAAGCCACCATGTTGTCTGTGGAAATCCTGTGTCTCAGACTCCACAAGAGACCCTAGTCACTGACTGCTTCAGTGGTGTCTCTGTTCAGTGGCAATGTAGTGACATTGTCATCTACAAGTCCTGGGACACATGCAGCCCTCAGGTCACAAGCTGGACATGCCTGAGAGGGAAAACAGATCTGCCTCAAGGGCACCCATGATAAACACCAGGTCCGTGAGAAACATGAGGACCCTCAAGTTTGCTGGTGTTTTAGCCAAGTCAAGGTCTCTCCGTTTGGTAACAGGTGCTAATCATGGAGTCAACAGTGTCAGCACTGAGTGCCCAACCATTCCCACTGGAGACAGGATGCGCGTTTGTGTTTTGTGTTTTAAGAGTGGGGCAGAAGTCAGGAATTATTCATGATGCTAATGGGCTGGGATGTCCATGCTGAAGTTTCTGAGACATGAGAAAGCCAACTCCTGCTAAGTAACAACCTTAGTACCAACTCTGACATTCTGGATGGAGAAGGGACTTGAGATTCTCCTCCTTGTGAGCATGATAATGAAAGGGGCAATCCAACACAGGGACATCAGGGGTACAGCCTCATCTAGTGACATGATGTTGGGTGTGGGCTCTGGCCAGGACTCCCAGACTCTTTCCTTCTCTGAACATTTCTCTTGAGTTCTTACCAAGCACACCCTCCCTCCCCTAATCATTACTCAAACTGATTTACCCAGGAGGTCAAGTCCCTAGTAATTCTCTGTCAATTCGTTTGGCCAAAGGAATTGATTGAGTGGCTAAACTCAAGGAGGTACCCATCTGCCCGCCCTGTCCTACTGATACACATGTCAGCAGGCCTATGGACAGCACACACATGTTCACACAGACTGAACGTGAACAATATGTCTCCCTTTTCTACATCTGACAGGTGGCCTTTCTGATCTAACAGTGGGGTTCTTCCTCATTCTGTATACTTACAGAGGACGAGGAGAAAGCAAGCCAGCCAAGAAGCTATGAAAATAGGCTAGCTTAGCAGTGGCCACAGGCAGGTGCCTTCCCAGACTCCTTGCTGTTCCCAAGTCTTCAGAGCTGTGCTTGGAGTTCAGAGCCTGAGCTAACTAACGCCCGACTCAACTGTGTACTCAGACACATCTGCTTCCCCAGGGAGGGACCTATAATAATACTCACCACAGAGTGGGCATTTGAACTATGTGGATGACCTGCAAGAAGAGTAACTCATGGTTACAGTTAGACAGTTACTGTTGTGTTCCTGAGCACCGCCCACTTGTCAGATCAGTCAGTACGACTGGAACATACTGAGAAGACTGCAAACTTTCTGCAGCAATACTTTTTCCTCTTTTACTGGGTTCTTCACATTCAATTAAGTAAGATTTTGTTGTTGTTGTTGTTTTGTTTTGAGACAGAGTTCAGGCTGGCCTTGAACTCACACAGATTGCCTGCCTCTGTCTCCTTAATGCTGGGATTAAAGGTGCGTGCGCCACCGTCCCTGGCAATACGTGCGATGAAAATCCACCCGTTTTCTTTAAAAGTTAGAGTGGTTGGTTATCCTTCAACTAACGATTCCTGGAATTGTAGTGACATCGAGTTTAATCACATGGTAAAACCAAAGCCTCATCCTGCTTGAGTTTGGAAGAGACAAGTCTGACACCAGGCTGATCGTGACCAGTGTCCCCCAAACCAGACCCTCTGTCTCCCAATCACTCACCCATCTGTGCACCGATCTTTTGACATGGTACGGTGAGGACTCTCAACAGTCCATCTGGCTTGTAAGAGTAATGTTCCACTAGCTGCAAGAGAAGCAAGGAAGAACGTGGTTAGTAGAGAGAGAGAAATAGGGACAGTGACAGTCACGTCCTCACAGACTTTAAAGCTGTTGGAACCTCAGACAGTCTCTTCCAGAGGTCACCAGGGGGATGGGCTGCGATGTCCTTGTGTAGAGACAACAGAATTTTTAGCCTTGAAGCCATAGTCACATCGATAATCAAGAATGGAGAGTGGCTGGATTCATGCTGTTCACTGCTTAGCTAACATTCTCCACTCTTATACAGACCAGAACCCCAACCCACGGAATGGCGCCACCCACCACAGCCTGGGTCTTCCCGCATCAATTAATGCAGTCAAAAGAGTCCCCACTGACATGCTCATGCGCTAATCCAGTCTACACAAGCCTTCATTGAGACTTCCTTCCTGGGTGTTTTAGCAAGTGTCAGACTGACCATTAAAGCTAACTAACCTTCACACCGACAGGTGATGGATGGTTCATTAGGGGTTTGGAGTCTCCGTACCATCTCCATCTTCTAGTCCTTGGTTGTTTGTTGGCTGAGATAGGATTTTTGCTAGGTAGTCCAGGCTAGCCTTGAATTTACTATGTACCTGAGGCTGGCCTTCAACTTTTGTTCCTTCTGCCTGCCTCCACAGTTAATGTAGCTGTGATGCCAAATTAAGGAAGCAATATGTGCTTGGTAGCCATTGTGGGGAGTTGTGTGAACAATATTGGGGTGTCCCTGCATGCTTGAGTTTCCCCTAGGTTTACTGACAGCTAGGGTGAGAATGAACCCTTTGCAGAGCAGGCCTATAGAATTCCTGGACAGGCTGCTGTCAGGAGCCTAGAGAGATTAGATCTGCCTCCCAAGCCGCTTGAACCTCCTGTGGGGGCTCTGCTAGCAGGGTAGTAGTCTCCTTTTCTAGGAGAGTAGTAGTCCCACATGGCTTATCCACCCTGGTGCCTGGTGTCACCCGGGCATCTCACAGTTCCAGGACCAGGGAACTGGTCCTGGACCAGGAACTGGGTCACAGCCCCTAGGTTCTTTCTTTGGTCATCTGTGGTTGTGTGTGATGCTATTCCTGGATGGCAAGGCTTCCTGTTAAATTCCAAACACTTCCCTGAAACACATGATCTTGAGGCACCAAGAACTTAACAGCTCTAGATGAAAATTTCTACAACTTCACCGACTTGATGACGGTCTCTGCGTCAACATTGTCAAACATGCCGTTTAGAAAACAGACGGGACTGTATGGGACAGATAGTCTTGTCCCTCCCCTGAGCCCTCCAGAGGGGAGTGAGAGTCAGAGACAGAGAGACAGAGACAGAGAGACAGGCATACCCACAGAGATCTATACACACCTGCCAGAGGGTGTCGAACTTCTTCCCCTCAGGGATGGAAAGCTTCCCTGTCTTGTCCCTGTCGATGCGATAGTGCAACACTTTCCCTTCGTGCAGCAGGCACAGCGCGTAGGAGCCGTTATTGTCTCGGGCCCTGATCCTGCAGAGAGAAGACACTGTATCACCCTCTACTCTTACGCAGGAAACAGAACCCTAGCTACAGTGGACAGCAGGTTCTCACCAGAACCAGCAAGTGGGCACGTGCTTGGCAGGCAGCACCCAGACCTCAAAGCCCCAGGAAGGCTCAGTATCAGAGCCAATGAGCCAGCAATGGAAATGTCAGGAGTTAGAGATGGACCATGACAGAGATCCAGCAGGCTGTGGAGTTCTGGAGATCAGTAAAGAAGCTTGGGGTCTGTGTAGTTCAGGGCAACAGGCATAGGCTTTAGGTATCTATGAAGTTCCTAGGCTCATCTCCATTTCCTCTCTCTCTCTCTCTCTCTCCATCTTGTGCCTGAGAAGGGAATGGTAGCTGTGTGGGATGAGCCAACAGAGGCAGCCTGAGGTCCAGCAGGCACCTGCAGATGAACAGAGGACTCCATTTCACTGGTATCATGAGCTACATGTAGTATTCCAGGCCTCCGTGCTGGGTGACGACACACGGGTGCACCTGTGCGCTGGGACACATGCACAGGACAGTCCTGTCAGGACAGGTGGAAGTAGGGATTCACACCTTAGGCCCCGGAGAGGCTGTGTTCTAGGCACCAACGGGTACGGTGTGACTCTTCCAGCCTTGCCATTCCCCACTTTCCGGCAATTCACACCTTCTGATCATGAGATCTGGGGAAGGGCGAGGCCTCTGCATTTGCTAAAACAAGGAAGAGTCTCAGAGCATTCAGCAAGTGCTCTGAGCTTGAGTATAGCCGAGTCAGGCCCCAACTGCCAGGAGGAGAAGGGAGTCTGCAAACTGGCCACATCTGCGCTGCTTTCTCCGGGTATAAGATGTCAAGACCACAGCCACAGCTCAGACTGAGCTGGGCCTTGGAACCGGATGTGACCTCACTTCCCTTTCTCCTGCCATGCGGCCCATCTCTTGAAAGTGGGAGGAGGTTGCAACTTTAAAACTATTTCCTTGAAATGGTGAGTGGTGTGGCACAGTGGCCAGGACTCCCTCCAAGCCCCTGCTTGAAGCTCAGGGCAGCTGGCAAGATAGACAAGATACAACTGGTGGAAGATACAGCCAAGCCCTCCTTGGCCTTCCCAGCCTGCTGGTCTGAAATTGTGCCACTATGGAAACAGCCCCTCCGTCCTGCAGTGAGTCACCAGCACCCTGAGGTGCCAACTCCTTTCCGATGGTCATTTGGCTGATGAAAGCCTTGTTGGTTACTGGGCAATGCCCAGCCATGCAATAAAACACCATATATGGACAGAGAACCCAGCCCCGCTCTCTAGGGAAGCCATGCACAACATGTGCTAGCTCTATTTTATAGACACCAGTGGCTCCCGGGAAGGGTATTGTGGGTGCAAACATACATGTAAGGGGCTGGGTGTGTGGCTCAGGGGTAAGAGCACTTGTTGTGAAAGCAAGCTGTACACAGCCACAAGTATCTCTAAGCGTTGGAGGGTAAAGACAGGCAGACTCCGGAGCTTTTGGGCTGACCAGCCTGGCTGCAGCTGTGAGCTCCAGGTGCAGCGAGAGAGCTTGTCTCTGTGAGGGGAAATTAATAACTAAAAGATATGGGACTCATGGCAAGAAGGGAAAACCAGAAAGAACAAGTGCTTCTGCCAATAGATATAGATAACTCCCTGACTGGAGAGTACATTCTCCCTGCCCCCCATTATCTTAGGACAAGGCCACTGAGCCCACTAGTCCTAGAGAATGAAAACCCCCTAACCTTGCAGGTGCACTAAACAATCCTGCCTTGTAAAAACTTTGTATTCTATGAAATCTCTGTAACCTTGGAAACCTTATGGGCTGGGATGAGCAGTCTCAAATCTCCCTTTCCCTTTAAAAACGCTTCACAATTGTAAGGGGCACCTTACTCTTCCGATAGAGCGAGGTCCCAGACAGTTTGGTTCTTAGCAATGAAAACCTTTTGCTTTTGCAGTCGGGAGTCACTTCCTTGGAGGTTGAGGAAACCAGGTAGGCGCAACAGTCTCCAAGGAACAAGGTGGAAAGTCTTCCTTTAGTACTGACGTTTACATGCATGGCATTCATATCCACAGAAAGAGGCACAAGACACAGTGATTGATGGGGAGAGGGGGAGGGGAGAGCGAGAGGAGAGAGAGGAAAAGAGACAGATATAGAGAGTGAGAGAGAGAAGAAAGGACAAAGGAGGAGGGGAGTGGGTAGGAAGAGATGTTCACCTATCATCCCCCTAACAGGGAGTAGAGGCTGGAGGGTCAGTAGCTCAAGGCCATCCTCTATTATACTGAGTTGGAGGCTAGCCTGGGGTACAGGAGACACTATCTCAAGGAAAACAAACCAAAACCAGAAGCATGGAAGGGTCAACGTGTGAAGAATTTGTGTGTACAACTATAAAAGATGTTTGGGGGAAAAGATGACCAGAAGACACATCTCAATGTCATTCTCCTCATTGAGAGTCCCTCATGCCTGAGACTCCAAAGTCATGGGAATAAAAGATGGGGTCTGGATTTCAGTTTGTAGATCCACGCTGAACTTGCTAACTAATCCATCAGCCCTTGGTTGGTTTCCCTAGCTAAAGTTGACAAGAAAGCTCTAGACTCTGTGGTGCTCACCTCTCACGTTGGGGCAGGAGGGTCCACAGGGGCCAGGAATTTAGGGCTAGCCTTGACAACATAGCAACATTTCTCTGTTAAACAAACTAACCCAATACAGCAGACCACAGGTCCCCAGTGAGGCAGTGTCTGGAGAGACGGCACAACTGACCCCTGAGAAATCTGGGGAACCCAAACTAGGCTCACAGTGGAAATGCCACGGCACCGTGGACCTGGCAGACGTCTAAACAGTGAGTCATCCAAGTGTTGCCGATGCCTACATGGAGCAACACTTCTGTCCCACCACTTTGGAAAACCCCCTGGAAGGGGCTCCTGCCACTGCTCAACAATTCCCCCTCCAGGTGTTAGAAATGCACAGTCAGCAGCGGGGAAGTGGACATCAGCAAACTGAACCCTGGTCCCTCGTCCTTCCCATCGTGTCTACATCATCTTTCCAAGGAGCCCTTTTAATCTTGGAATATCTACATCTCCTACCTGGTCAAATTTCGTTCTCCTTTAAGTACTTTTTCCACTCCATACTCTCTAACTTGGACCGGTAATTCTAAATGCCTTGAATCTAATTGTGATAACAACTACTCATTTATCCTGTGCTTCCTCCTTGCTGCGGCTGCTCAGGGTATTTTGCATTAGTAGAGCCTTTAATAGAATTTATAGTGTTTAGGCAAGCACTGGCCAGGAGTCCCAGGGAAGAGGAAAACTGTTTCAGGGCACAGGAAAACATCTACAGAGAATTTGAGGTTCCAACCTTCTTCATACTTGTTTGGAAGATAAAACTATATCACGAACCTAAGGAAAGTTATTGCAAGCTCACTGAAGTAATAGTCCCTGCTTCTTCTTAGTTGCTTTAAATGCACTTAAGAGAGTAAGAAAAAAAGCATGGTGGATCTATCCTAATTTCAACCCCCCCCCTGTTTTTTTTTTTTAGCAGGACTCCTGTCCTGTGATGAGAGGAAACAGGACCCCTGTCCTGTGATGACAGAAACAGGTAGTATATATTTAGATTAAAAAGATTTTGAGATATTATAATGGAAAGGATATTTGTTAAATCAAACATGTGCACTTGTACCCCAGAAGGTGTGTTGGAAGGATGGACTGGCTCTCTGTGCCTCTCAGAAACTTGCACACAATCCTGACATTTACAAGCTGCTGAATAAATTGTCACACCCTATGGTAAATCCATTCATATAGTAGAACGGGCTGGAACAACGAAGTTGAACGAGCGGCTGCTACACAGAGCACTAATAAGTGTCACAAACAGGAAATGCACCGAGGCCAGGAAACGGCTCCACTGGCAAAGCACAGAGCCCTGAGTTCTGATCCCCAGAACTCACACTTGCAGGTGTGGTGGTGGGTGTCTGCAGCTCTAGTGTTGAGGGGGTGGGGGCAGAGGACCCTGGGAGCTCACAAGCTACCCAGCCCATTTGAGTTGGTGAGCTCCAGGTTCAATGAAGGACCCTGTCTCCTAAGACTAGAAGGAGAGTGGCAGTTTGGGGAGACACCCAGCGCTAGCTTCTGGTCTCTGCAGATGACCCCCACATGCTGCATGTACACATGCGCATTTCACCCCAAACCACACACGAGTAAGCGTGCCCACTGATTCCACACACAAGAGATTGTGTTTAGATATGTACATCTTGGTGATAAAACCTTTTTCTTAGAAGAAGAAAAAGAAGAAAAGGGAAAAGACACATAGAATATAAACACTATGAATACAGGACTAGGAGTGCATCCCTCTTGTGGGATGGGGTGAGGGGTGGGGGGAGGGGCTTCTGCAACTTGGGTTGTATATTTCATTTCTTGTCTTAGGTGGTGTTTGCTTGATGTTTATTCCCTTAACTGCCCCTGCCTAGCCCTGTTGAATTTAGTATCTCACTGTAAAAATAGTGTGGAAGATACAAGGAGGAAATGGAGATGGCCTCTTGTTTCTGAACAAGTCCTTCTGCTAAGACCCCTCTTTCTTGGAGGCTATGTACAAGTGACTCTGTATATTGGAGGCCAAGCCCTCAGGCGACAGGTCACTGACAACTGTGGTTACTGCCTGGACACAGGGCCTGAGCTGTGCCCGTGGTAGCAGGGAGGAAATGAAGGCAGAGACGGGAAACCCACAGGCTCAGCATCTGCTAAGTGACAAAGACCATAAGGGCTGGCCTCACCCATGGCCCAGCAACTTGGGGTATCTGCAGGCTGCAGGCAGAGCCTGGCTGGGATTGTCTTTAATGAGGAGAACTCATTAGGAAGCTGCTGCCTGGCTTCCATCCTGACCGGTTCCTGTTTCTGAAAACCTGGCAGGTATCATGATTGTCACCTGGGCCAGGGTCTATGGACAGAGCCCCAAGATTCTGTTGGGTTCTACTAGCCCTAGACTGTTCATAGTCTGGCCCTTAACCAATGTTTAATGTG